CTTCTAACTCACAAATGCCAATCTTTCTCGGGACACTTTCATAGGTGATTTCATAGGACCTTGCCAGGAGGGAAGTTGTGGGACTGCCTGCCACCCTACTCAGATCTTCCAGAGATTGTGTGAGAACCCAAGGGACCCCAGGGGGCATTCCATCCCCATGGAAAGTGGCTCTGCACACAGCACAGGGTCTGAGGAGAGTCAGGGGAGCAGTGGACTCCGCCACTCCTCCCAGCAGGACTGAGCCGCACTTCCAGTGGGTACAAGATAGCAGGATATCTAGGCAAGTGGCAGAGTCATAGCAAGTCCAGCTCAGCCCTTTCTTAAATATCACCCTGTCCCCACCCCAGGATTCCCATGACCTATAAAGATTCAAGTGTTGGCCCAATCCATCATCCCTGGCTCTAAAACATCCCAACTCCTCTCTCCATGACTCACCTGGTCTGATGACTGACAGGCCACCAGGAGCTCAGGAGCCACACACTAAGGGTGGTGACCAAGTCACTGAGCTCTCCCTCAGTTTCCCAGCCTGCAAAAGGAGTCACGGCCCATTCACAGGTACAGCATACAGTCCACGAATGTGCACTCCCCTGCTCCTTTTGTCTCCACTGTGGATGCAAACAGGCACTGGTACTTTGGAGCTACATCCAAGAGCCTGGATTCAAGTCATCCTAAAGAGAAACCTGATAGTCTGATGGCAGGAGCACCCCACTGCCATCACAGCTTTGGGTCCTCCTCAGCTCTGGAAGTAGACTGCCCTACGCCAATAGGGCCATCTTTCAGGTTGGCCCAACCAGTAAGGTCCAAGTCTTCTCTTCAGTTAAGACTGTGAGTCTTAATTGCTCCAGCCAATAAGAAACCAGAGGCACACAGAGGACTACGAAGTCAGAGCCCTGGTTAAAATGCACCTGAAATCCACCTGCCAGCAAATCTTCCAGCTGAATGGGCCACAATGAGTTGAGTTTTCTGCCTCCTACAACAAAAGAGGTCTCGTTGGTGGCGAGTCCCTGAGTAGGTTGGCTGTCAGCTCCACTGCCAGTTCAAGAGCTGGGCATGGTAGTGTGTCATGAGTGCCCTTTCCTCAGTGTCTCAGGATTGGAAACTCAGTGTCTCTTGGAAACTTTGCCCTGTGGGTCTGCCAGTCACTCAAGTGCTCAGATGATTTTTCCACAAACTGCAGCTGAGCTAGAAAAGGGCATGGACTTACCCAAGGTCACCCAGTTGGTTAGTGCCAAATCCAGGACTCAAGCCCTGGACCTCTATGCGACATTCCTGGGTAGAAATCTGGCCAGCCCCGGCCAACTGAGCTAGCTGCTAAATTGATACTTTGCAAAACATGCATGTTTCCAATTTCAGAGCGTGGCTGGGACTTTGAAACAGCATGTAGCCGCCCCCTGATGTGGTGAGGACGGAGGTGGCTGGGTTGGGATGGAGAGGGATCTTACGAAATGCTCCGCAGAAGCCCCAGGGCACCCACAGGCTGGAAGCAGATCAGAAAGCAGCCTCCTCCCGAGGCCGCAGGCAGCCCGCTCCCCACTTTAAAAAGACCTGTATCGATTTCGCTTTTTTTCCCTCCTTGGTGCCTCCTTAATGAGATGATGTTAGAGTTGAAAATAAATAGATGAGAGGCAGGGTAAATACACAAACAGATAACCAGAGCCTGGGCTTCCTCCTTCCCTCCAGGACTGGGGGAGTCCGGCTACAGCTCTGGAAAGGGTGGGGAGAGGGTGCCCACCACCCTGCGTCCTGGCACCTACTGGACACTGGTGGAGCTCAGCACCCTCCCTCTCTCGGGCTCTTTGCAGTGACTCGTGAGACACACAGGCATCTCCCCAAAAGCGGCCAAGTACAAGAAGGGACTGGAGCAAGGTCACAGCAAAAGCCTGAGGAAGAGAACTCTCATCCTGACAGGATGCGGGTGGGTGACATTTAGGTGGGTGTTGGAATCACCAGGGCTGCACTGCAGGAAGGGCCATCCCAATACTCCCTGGGTTCCAGGAAGCATAAGACGTTCTGCAAGACCTTCCCACCAGGCTGCTTTCTGTCACACATTCGGTCAGGGCCACCCTGTCCCCATTTTGCCTCTTGCGTCCTCTCGGGAGCCAGGGATCCCAGAATGTGTTATGTTACGGCCACCGCCTCCCTCAATGTCCCCACTGCTGTTCCACAGTGCTGGGGCAGCCACGCAGGCTGTTGCATTACACACCTGCCATGGTGCCTCCCTGAAACCCCCAGGGTCTCCCCCATCATCTGGTCACTGGTCCAGCAAATGGGGTCTGAGACCTGTGTGCCGGCTCTGGTTGGTTAGATATGATGAAATTTACCTTCATTAAAATAGCACCTGCCCGTGGGGGGGGGGTCCTCAGAGCTTCTTAGGACTCCTTCCACCCATGCCAGCCTAGGGCCTTCGTGCTTCCTGGGGGATGCTGGCCTGACCCCACCCCAGGGCATTTGCCCTGCTGCTCCCATGCCAGAGATGGGCTCCTTCCCACCATGCTCAGGTCTATGCCTGCATGCCCTTGAGGATTAGGGCTCCCCAACTCCATCAGAGCAGCCCCATCCCATCTCCAGCACTCCAGTCCTCCTGCCATTGTCCAGCTGCCCAGCTCCTTGGCCTCAGCGTCTCTTTGCTGAGCCTCTCTCCAACCTGCTGAGCAAAAGGTTGCGTCTCTTCTTCCTACCAGGAGCCCTACTATACACATAGCTCTCTGCTCCAGGCTGGGACCTCACACAGAGGGAGGCAAACTTCAGACAGGTGCTGGAAGTGCAGAGCCCAGCGCTGAAGGCTGGGCTGGAGCCAGCGAGGCCTCTGTGTCCCCACGGCTACCAAAGGAGAGGAGCCTGAGTGTCTTGGATCCAGAGAAAGCTGCCCAATGTGCACTGTGATGTCGAGAGCCAGGTATTTATGAAGACCCAAGATATTCCTGTCCCCACCTTCTGTCCTTTGTGTGTGCATGTGTGTGTGGTACTGGGATTTGAACCTAGAATCTTTCTACTGGGCTACATCGTCATCCTCACCCCTCTTTTCCTTAGAGACAAGTCCTTGTTGAGCTGCTAAGTTGCTTTGGCTGGATTCAAACTTGCAATCCTTCTGCCTCAGCCTCCAAAAGTGTTAGAATTATAGGCATGCGTCTCCACATGCAACTTTTTTCTTTCTTTATCATTTTCTATATTTACTAAGTTTCTTCTGATGATCTTAAATTTTATAATCAGAGGATATTTTAATTTCAGATACGAGTTGCTGGAGAGATAAGCCTCCACCGTATGTCCATTTGTCCATCCCATTGGATGGAACAGACAGGTACCTTCAGAGGTCCCCACCTGCCATCCCACTCTGATCCCTTAGCGCACCCTAAAAGGTGCCCTAAGAAAATAATCCCATAGAGCACAACTATGCAATTTGTTAATATCTGGATTGCAGTACTCTCAACAAACTAATGGGAGGCCAATAGTCATTGTTTGGGGAAACAATGGCACATCCACAAGATAGTTACAAGTGTGACTGTTGCAAAGCATCATCAGGCTCACAGCTTAAAACTATTTTGTGTTGAAGATGAAGTAAATAGAAAGGTGTACCATTGTCCAAACCAAGACATGGTAAAATGGGAGGGTGCGGACCAGAAGGCGGCTATAAGTGACTCCTCCGAGTGTTTGACAACCCAAAGATGAGGCCTCAGCACCTGCTTGTCACAAAAGCTGCTCAGGGCACAAAGACAATGTAGTGAACATGACAAACGGGGCCCTGCTGGCCTGAACGGGGTCGTGGAGCAGACAGTTTGTAAGTGCGTATTTGTGTTTCTGTCACACGACTCGTAACTAAGCTTGGAAGTGTTCTGATGCCCATACACAGAAGAATGGATAAAGAGAACATGGTGATTATACACGGCAGAGAATTACTCTGCCATAAAGATAAATGAGTTATTTGTGGGAAAATTGATACACCTGGAGACCATAATAGTAAGACCCACAGCTTAAATATGGTATGGTTTCTCTTACATGAGAAACCCAAAATATAAATATAGAACAAATAAGATAATAGGGAATAGGGAGGTAGATCTTTCTCAGAGAGGAAGAGGATCAAGGGAGAGAGAAGGAAAGGAAGGAAAGAAAGAATGAAAAAGAAGATGTGTTATATACCTGTGCCTGCTCCATACACAGAATGTATTTATTATGTACTGCAAGCATGCAATAAGAAAATTAAAATATTTTAAAATACACAATATAAGTCAGAGGAAACTGAGACGGGGGATATTGGGGAAGAGACAGTCACACACTGTGTGTCCCTGCCACCATGGCGGTGTCCTAGTGCATCAGTCAGCTCTCTGCATCTGTGACAAAACACCCGACAAAGGCCGCATGTTATGAAGTGAAGAGAGGTGCGCGTTGGCTCACGGTTCAGATGGTTCAGTCCAAGCCCAGGGGCCGGGGGGACTTGGGCCCCTGTGCAGGTGGCATGTCATGGAGGGACACACAATAGGAATAAACACTCATGTCTCCAAAGGAGAGGGAGAGACACTGCAGCCCCCACAGTTCTTGTCATGGACATAACTGTAATGGTCAAGCTCTCCTGCTAGACTCCACCTCTCAGAGGTCCACAGCATCTCCCAGTAACGTCACCCGCAGGTCTGTCATGTAAGGACACTCAAATCACACCCAAACCATAGCACTGAGCCAGTAGCCTAGTGGTGCAGGACACACTTCCCACAGGCGTGGTCTATGGAGACCACTCATACATAACTCTGTGTCCCCTCTGCCAAACGCTGGACAGTGCACAGGATGCCAGGAGTTTGGGTATGGCATAGCCACCAGTTGGAAGGTACCTGGATCCAAGTCACCTCCTGAAATCAAGCCACTCATGGATGGGGATCAGCCATCTGAACTTGAGGTGGACAAGAAATGCATTTCTGCTGTATTGGAGACTGACTGGCATTGAAATGGGTTTCCCAGAGGCAGGGAGGGGGTTGTAGTCAGGGGTTGGGAGGAGAACAATTACAATCAGGACATGGAGTTTATAATATTGCTTTATGATGGTCACCCAGAGTTAACATAAGAAAATGCAGGAAATCTATCCACAACACGAAAGACATAGAATATTTAGCCAAGGGCCTGAATCCCACAGCAGTGTCCCACATGAGTCCAGATGAAGACCTAGAGCTCATGGCAATGCCTCCCACGAGTCCAACTGGAGGTCTACAGCCCACAAGAAGGACTCATGCCAGTCTCTTTTACAGATTCGTGCCAGGAAGGTCCAAGTCAGCAGTGGAAGCTAGAAAGTCTATGCCAGCAGGGTGAAGGAGCTATGCTCGTTGGTTGAGTATTCTACACTGGAACGAAGAAATCACACTCACAACAAAGACCAGGGCTGTCCTGAAAAGCACCACAGCCAACCTCAGTGACACAGAGGCCCCCAGCTTCTCTGAAGATAAGCACAGTCAAGTACATGCCAGGAAGCCAGCGTGATGAGTTCATCCTGGATACCAAGCAGCACACATCTTCCCCTCCAGAGCCAGGAAGCAATGCTCGATGTGAGCGCCAGAGCTTCTCCAGGAGAACCAATGGCTCAAACAGCAACATGTAGGAGAACCCACAATGCTCAACGTCTCAGTGCAATAGCTTCTCTTTCTCCATGTCTCTATGCTGGCAACTTTCTTCAGGTGGAACATGTACGCTCAGTGCCTTGCTGATGTAATCCAGCTGGCATTAAGTTGACCACCAGTTCTTAATCCATAACAGAAGGCCTGGTTTTGCAGGCAGGGAGGGGCGGTGACTGTTTGATGGGGGTGACCAGGACTGGCCCTGCTGCTAGTATGGGGAACAGAGTGAGAATGTACTTGGGGTTCCCTAAGGGGACACTTCCAAGCAGACGGGACTGTCCTGTGTAGGCTCCTGGCATGGACAATAAAGGAGATGGAAACCAGGGAGGCTGGCACAGTGGGTAGGTACAGCAAGGCTACCCATGGCTGGGGCAGAAGGGATTAGCAGCAAGGGCAGAGCCGGCTGTCAGAGGGATGGCAGGTGGGCTGGAGGGTGCAGCACCACTGGGTCATGGATAAGGATCTGTGTCCAGCAGCTTCCGGTCCCTGTAACAAAATTCCTATGAGAAACAAGTTAAGGAGGGAAAGTTGATTCCAGCTCACGGTTTCAGAGGTGTGGCTCCGTGAAAGAACACGGGAGAAGGGCAGATTGGAGGAAGCTGCTCACCTCACAGCTGCCAGAATGCAGAGAGAGGGAAAGGGCCAGAGAGGAAGGGGTCAGGGGCAAGCAGTATCCTTCTGGTTACCCCGCAAGGACTCACTTCCTCCCATCAGGCCCCGCCTCCTAACAGATGTAGCTAGGAACTCAGCACCAATAGATTAATCCACTCTGGAGCTTGGTGCCCCTTTGGTCCAATCACATTCCAGAAACCAGGCCTCTGCACACACAAGCCTTTTGCAGGACATTTTTGATCCAAACTATAACAGGGCCAAACTGTGGTTTTGTGAAGGCAGAGCTCGCAGGAGGTCTATGTGGGTGGAAATGGCTACAGAAAAGAGGAGTCCAGGCTATCCCCAACCTAGAGCCCGAGGCGGCAGAGCAGGGTGCTTAGAGCCCAGCTGGGGAGGTGGGAGACAGGGGACTGTAGCGCTGCACACTGCGTGCGGAGAAGCATCACTCAGCTGCCCAAGGACCTCTAATAGGTGGGAGGATCTTTGTATCTGGACTCCTGCGTGGAGGAAGAGAGAAGGCTGAGTCCTCCTTGGACAGCGGGTGTGGAGAACATAGGAGCAAGGGCAGGGGCTCGGAAGGCTCCGTGCATAGTGTGGGGAGCACACTGAGACAGTGGCTGACAGGCGGAGGAAGCAGAGAGCACAGGAAGAGGGAGATGACTGAGGAACTCTCTGGGGGTCACTGTGGGGGCAGGAGGGACACAGGTTGCTTGCTACAGGCTGGAAGGGGGCACAGGTGCTTGGAGTGGTAAGGGCACTGATACAACTTGCAGTTTGGCTGCAAAGGGAACAGAGACGGGGCAGTAGCCAGAGGGGAAGTGGGGTACAGGGAGGTTTCACTTGTGTTTTTGAGGTACAGGCGTGTTTACACCCATGGGAACCACAGGACAGAGCTGAGATGCTGGGACCAGGGCACTGCACTGCAGTGAGCATTTGCAGGGTATTGCGTCCCACATGCAAGGACTCTGAGCCAGAAAGTATGGCCCGGAGGGTCACTGAGGGCAGAGGAAGTGGCAGTTCTGACACCTGGCCATGGGACCTTGTTGGGGTGGCGGAGACATTCAGGGAGACGGTCAGGCTGGCTGTGCTGCACCAGCATCGGCCACACCCAAGCACAGCAGGCAGAGGTGGAGAAGGCTCCAAGTGGCACCAAGGGACCCTGGGGCAGAGGTGAGAGGCTGGAGGAAGCGGAGGTGGAGGATTGGAGTGCTAGTACGTGAGAAGGGATGCTTGAAAACAGAGCCAAAAGGCCGGGCAGTGAGAGAAGAGGGAAGTATTCCGGGGTGGGCAGGGTATTAAGTGACTGAGATATTAAATGGCTGGGCCAAGAGTGACACAGGGGGGAGTGGCAGCAAATCTAAGAACAAAATTCAGCCGGAGGGACACCCCAGATCGGGTAGCAGCCTCAGTGGCCCCAAGTCAGAGCAAGTGGTGGGGAGGGAGGAGGCGGGCAGGACTTCCCGGAAGGAGGGAGGAACAGGGGCCCTCTCCCACTGCCAGGGCTTCTCTGGCCCAGCGCACCTTGCACAGGGCCCTGGAGTTGCTCCCATTCAGCCAACAAAAGAAGGAGCCAGTGAGGGAGGACCCCGGTTTCCAGTCTTCTCACTTCCAAGGGACAAATCTGAAATATCTGATCAGCTCCCTGGAGCCTCGGGGGACCCCACTGGAATGCACCCTACACACCTCCCACCAGTGGCCCTCAGCAAATCTTGTCTTGCTCTGGCTTCCTGGAATCACCTCCCCAGTAAACTACCTGCTCTCAGACCTTATCTCAGACCCGCCTGGGAAGAGCCCTGTCCAAGCCTGGGGATGTGACTAATGCCTCCAGTAAGTTCCAAAGGCCACTGTAGGAAAGCTGCAGGAGAGGCTGAGGCTGGACAGGCGAGAAAAGAAAAGGTCCCTGAGCACAATGGGCTGGATGGCTCCCCGGGGGGTGGGGGAGTAAAATGTGCCCAGGAAGCAGGGCTTGGTGGAACAGGGTCTAAGACCCTTCTGTCCCAGAGCCCGGTGTCCCCAAGCACCTTCCTGGTTTGTACCCATTTTGGGCAAGTTCTTTGGGAACTCTAATGGCCAAGCTGCTGGAAGCCGACAGCATAATCTCATTGCTGGGATGGAAAAGGTAAGTCTTTTCCCTGATTTAAATCTATTCTTCTTCTTCTTTTTTTTTTTTTTTTTTGAGACAGGGTCTCTATGCAGTTTGGGCAGGCCTTGAGCTCACTTTGCAGCCCAGGCTGGTCTCAAACTCGCAAAAATTCTCCTGCCTCAGCCTCCCGAGTCCTGGGATTACAGGCGTGAGCCACCACACCTGGCTCTATTCTTCATTTTTCACATTAGAAAAGAAACACTTTCTCACAAAGCTAGACAGACTCACCGTAAGGTAATGTATGGCCCCATGATTGCATTGCGTTCCGTGCTATTTATCCAAAAGAACTGAAAACTTACCCGTCAGCAGGTAAGAGGAAACACAGGTAAAGGAATACGATTCTGTAATAAGGACAAACCAGCCTGCCTTCTATGATGGGGTACGGAGGACGTATGTATTGCTAAGGGGAAGCCAGCAGTCTGCAAGGCTACAGGCTTCACGATCCCATCTCCGTGACATCCTGGAAAAGGCGAAAGCACAGAGACAGGAAAGGCATCAGTAATTCCCAGGGGCTGGGAGAAGGAGGGTGAGCACAGAGGGGCTGTGGGACAGCAACATGGTCCTGAGCGTCACTGTGGCGCTGGACACAGGATGCTACACGTTTGCAGAAGGTCATGAAACTGTATAGCTGCAAGTGAGGACATAAGGAAAGCCACAGATGTTAACTGATAATAATGTTAATGATAATAATGGCCCATATTGGGCCATTGCTGGTGACAGCTGTAGCTCTCCAGACATGATGTGCACAGGATGGTGGCCGCCCTTGGAGGCAAGGTTATGATCCCCCCCCCACACACGCACACACACACTTCCCAGCTGCATGTGTCTGAGGGGCCCATTGCATCTCTGCCTCTGGGCCACACCTGAGCCTCTCTGCCTGTGAACCCCCATTTGGTCAGGCGTGAGAATAAGACCAGGAAGGCTCTACCGTGTGGCTCTTTGCCCTGCTCTGCTGTGGGGAGAACAAATCCCCCTCTCACAGTGCCTTTTTAGGACTGAGTCACATTCCCATGAGATCTGTGGCCACCGCCCTGGCCCCGATGTTGAGATACAAGTTGCCAGTGACCTGTCTCAAGGGATGTGCCACTCTGTTATCAGCCACCAGCCTGGCTTTATGGAGTTTTATCAGAGCTACTCGGGTTACCCCCGGGGAGCACCAGCCGGCTGTGGGCTCTGTTCTGCCCTCCTGCAGGCTGGCCCACGTCCCATCAGGAGTCAGGAGTCTACTCCGGCAGGGTCCCTGGCTGCTTGCAGGAACCTGCCCTGGGCATGGGGAAGTGGAAAGGATTTCCAGTCCCCAGTTCCCTTTGGAACTGCTTCCTGGGCCAGATGGTAGAGTCTCTGAATGATAGCTCTGACTACAACAGGAATGCAGCTTGAGGACATGGGGCTCAGTCAAATAAACCAGTCACAAAGAACACACAGAGCATGGTCCCACTCATGCAAAGTCCCTAAAGTCGTGAGACTCACAGAGGCAGGAAACATGATGTGGGTGCCAGGGCAGGGCAGGGGTGGGGAACCCATGTTTAGTTTGGGGAGATCTTCCGTCTGGGGAGATGAGGCAGTTCTGGAGATGGATGTGGTGTCGGCTGTACAGGGGGGCTTAACGCCCCCATCTGTGCTCCTGAACATGGTTAGGGTGGTGACTTTTCACTACAGTAGAAAAAGAAAAGATATGATAGCATAGAATGGGAGATAATCACTGTGCCCCTTGAAATGTACCCAGGGGAGGCGCAGCCACAGATTCCGTGGGACTGCCTTGTCCCAGCATTATGGAAGAATGTGTAACTTGAAAATAAAAAGTAAAAGTATTGAAGAGTGATTTTTAAGTTGTAAACAGGATTTGTTTCACAGCCTGCAGCAGCTGTGAGAATGAGATGTGAGACGGTGCCCTGAGTCTGGGAATCCGTTTGTGATGTGTCACCACTCTTCCATGGCATTGGGGCTCCTGTCACCTTGCCTCTCACTCTGCAGCCCGCAGTACCAGCTTCTGGGGTTCCAGCTCCCCAAACCCCTTGTCCCCTGATCTTGCCAGAGTCCCGTCCTCAGTCCAGGCTCAGGTTCCCACTGTGCCTTTCCTTCGTCCCACAGCCATCAGGATCCCTTGGTCCTTCCTCCTGGCCCTCCCAGCCCTCCCCTAGCAGGCAAGGAGGCCGTGTCCACTGCAGCCATCAGAGTCTATGGAAGCTAAGCACCCCTCCCGTCCCCCCAATTCAAACCCTTCTGCCTCAGACTCGACTCACAGCCCCTGGTATTTACAGGTTAGTGTCCTTCCTGCCAGTACGATGGTATTTGAAGACAGGGCCCTTGGGAGTGATTAGGGTTAGGTGAGAATGTGACAGAGTCAGCATCCTGCTAAGAAGAGTCACAGACAGACTGTCCCCTTCCCACCACAGGAGGACACAGAGAAAGAGCCGGCCACCTACACACCAGGAAAACATCCCTCCCTGGGACTGGCACCAGCCACCACCCAGCTTTGGACTCCAAGCCTCCAAGCCATGAGCAGCCGGTTTCTGGTGCCTTGGAAGCCTGAGCCGAGACACGTTCATAGGACAGACACAGACCTCTCTCACCGCCCTCCTGCCCACACTGGCTCCTGGAGGCCTGGCCAGGGCCTTCCTCTGGCTGGAGCTTCCTCCCACCTCTTGGTCCAGGATCATCTCTGGGAGCAGGCTTCTCCCAGCCTCAGCCTATACCTCAGTGATGACGGGAAGGATGCTGGCGTGGCTGAAGGTCAGGGTGACTGACAGGATGATTCCTGACTGCGTATCTGCTATGCTCTCGCTTTTCCTGGGCCACTTCCTAGAGTGTGATGTCAGGAGACCCAGCCCATCCTGTGCCCCCAGTCTTCCTTCATACACTGTTCATTCATTCACCCCTGCTTTCATTTCAGCATGTATCATCTCGAGGCAAGGGGATGATGCTCCCCCTGTATCCCAGCACTTGGGAGGCTGAGGCAGGAGGATTACAGCAATTTCCAGGCCCACTGGAGTACGTAGTGAGTTCAAGACCAGCCTGAACTCCATAGTGAGATCCTGTCTCTAAATAATAAAAATGCATCACAAAACATTGTGCGCAACCATTTTGGCAAAAAGCATTTTTATGGGACCGTAATGCTGTTTCCCATAATGCCAGTTAAATTAAGGTAACATGCATGTGTACTGTTATATAATCATACACAGATGTAGATGCAGGAGAAATACCGAAAAGTTTATCAACTGTCCCCAGGGCAGGGGTTGTTGGAAGGTCATAGGAGAGGATAATTGTGAATAGCTTTTCCTTACACCCCCTCACCTAAAGAGACCAAACCTCAATACGGCCTTGCTTGGGGTCAACCTCACCTAGAGAAAGCAGGTGTCCCCAAGGCCACTGTATTACAGACATTCCTCCTTTAACGACCTACCTGTTCAACGAATCTTTAGACTTACGAGACAGGGGCACTGTCCGGATATACCAATCCATCTGTTTTTTGTTTTTTTTTTTCTTTTGTACAGAGAGCCTCAGTATCATTTTTTTTTTTTTTTGTACAGTGGTCCTTGTTTATACGGTGCTAGAATTCCTGCTGATTGTGCCGTACAGTATTGCAGGTTTCTGTTCTGCTGTACATTACATATTGCACATAAGAGTTATGCAGATAAAAGCTGGAGTTTCCTTTGACCATTTCTTTGTCCTGAATATTGTCATGTACATACTACAAACTCTTCACTTAGTGACCAAGTCATGTAATGACCCGCTGGCAAGCACAGGACTGAGTCCATAAATGAGAAATATCTGCTGTCATATTTCTGTTGCGGGGACAAAATACCAACATGCACAATTTAAAAGAGAAAAAGTTTATTTTGGCTCATGGTTTCAGAGGGGTTCCTCTATGGTCAGCTGGCTCCAAGGCAAAAATGTGGGGATGAGAGAAAGCTGCTCACCTCAGGGCAGCTGAGAAGCCCAGGGAGAGGGAAAGACACAGGGACGGGATGTATCCTTCTGGGTCACGTCCCCCAGTGACCTCCTTCCTCCCCTGCGCCACCTCCTGATAGCGCATTCAGCCACCTCCTGATAGCGCATTCAGCCGGAGTGGAGTCCTAGGCCCAGCTCCGAACAAGCTGTGTTGGGGATCAGTCCTTCAGTACCTGAGTTTTTGGGGGACTCATCATGAGAGCCGCTGCAACCCAAAAGTCACACTTTCCCCCTTTAAATGTTATAAATCATTAAAAACAAAATCGAAATGATCTGAGGGTGCTGATGGGGTGGAAGTGCAGAGCTCCCCCGGTCCAGGCTCTAAAGCGGGAGGCCCTGGCGCAGCCCAGGAGCTGGTCAGTGTGTGGTTCCAGGATATTCTGAGTGGAGCTATGAAAACCAGTGCGGGGTAGCGGGGCTCAGCTGTCTGGCTGATCCTCGTCCCACCAGCCTCTTCCCAAGTTGATTCCTGAGGGTATCAACCTGCTACTTTCCTGTTCTTTCTTCCTCTGCTCCTCGAGAGAAAACACTCCATAGCAGGGCCCCGATTTCATCTCTGAGGACTCCGAAGTCGCTCTTTCTTCCTCGGCCTTCATGATCCAAACCTCAATACGGCCTTGCTTGGGGTCAACACCAGCGCCAGTCTTCGGCTTTGTGGCTCTCAAGTGCCAGGCTTGGGGAAGGCACAGCCAGAAAGGAGCCCTGCTGAGATGAGGCTGGAGGACCCCTCTCACGTCCTACCCACTGTCGGAGAACCATGCTGCATCCACGCTGGCCCCACTGGCTGTGCCACCCCAGCGATTCCTTCCGGTTAGCACCCAGCATCTTCAGCTGTAATGCAGGAACAAGCAGGACCAGGGCCATGAGGTAGGACTTCCAGGAAGGCCGCGAGCTGTGACACCAGGTCTGCACCGGACTGTATCCCCAAATCCGTTGTTAGTTTTTTGGGACTTGTCCAACCCTTCCTTGCTGGAGTTTGTCCTCAAGTCCCCGGGTTAGTCTACATCATCTCACCATTGCTCAGGGCCCTGGATAAAAGGCCTCCCCTGCATCTGTCCTTGTCCCTGATAGTGGACATGGCCACCCCTCCCCTCCAGAACCCTCCCCTGGGAAGAGTGCGTCATCACTGCTTCTCTGAAGCACCCAGTCCATGGGGCCACTCCATGGAGGTTAGGAAGGAAGGGAAGTGGAAGAGAAGGAGAAAAGCAGGGAAGGAGGGAGAGAGTCAGGGGTGGAGGGGGGGAAAGAAAGAATAGAGAGGGACAGAGAGAAGGAGGGAGGAAGGGAGGAATAAATGAATAAACCTCTGCTGAGCCATTAGGAAGAGGAAGGGCAGGAATGGAGATTGGGAAAGAACCCTGCAAAACATACTCAGCTGGGGCCTGCAGGAAAACAATAACCCAGCAAGGGAGCTTGGGTGGAGGAGGCAGATCGGTTGGGACACAGCGTCAAACAGGAAATTCCAAGGCACCAAAATTCCTATCCATGGGCGAGGCTTTGGGACTGAGGCATGGGTGAGCACACGGTGGCTCCAAGCCTGCGGTGGCCCCAGGAACTGGACTTTCACTTTCACCAGCAACCAGAATAGCAGCAGGGAAGGCTGCCCCTGAGTCACAGGCCACCTGCAGAGAAGAGTGGGGGCCAAGCCAGAGGCCCCAGAGGTGACTCTTGGAAGAGTCTCAAAGGGAAGAAGAAGAGGGGAGCCTCGGCCTCAGGCACCTGCTGCCCAGGAATGCACCACCCCACACATGCCAGAATCCACCCTTGCAACAGCTGCAGGCCCCGAGGTCTCGAAGCTCCAGGACCTGTCAGGCCGTATGTATGGCGTTTAAAAGGCACCGTGCCCAACGGTGACACAGCATCTGCCGGGAAGGCTAAAGGACAGGCATGTGGGGAGGGAGGGTGAGTTGTGGGGATTGTGGCTTCACTTCCACTTTTAGATTTCTTTCTCTTAAAAGACAGGGTCTTGCTATGCCACCCAGGCTGGCTCTGAACTCAAACAATCCTCTTGCCTCAACCTCCCGAATAGCTGGGAAGCCAGGCATGTGCTGGTGACCACATGAATGCACCATCCATTCAAACTCTTAAGCTCGCTCCCTCCCAAAGCCTGGGCCAGCCGCTCAGCGCACCCCTCACCACCACCACACACACACACTTAGAGGCCCTGCCCTCCTTGGACAGACTTCCCCGTCCCAGAAGGGAAGAAGTCTCCGCTAAGTGTCACCTGACCGGAACCTCAGAGGAGGAATTGAGAGTCAACGTAACCCTTCCCTGGCCTCCCTGCCACCAGCTCAGTGTCAGGCAAAAAATACCCAAGAATCCATAGGAAAGAGATGCCTTTTTTGAGTGCAGGAGGACAGGTTTTTCACATTTTTGCATCTTCCTTCCCCTTTCCAAGGATCCCGTGCCCCTTCTGGAACCCACCTTGAAAGGATCAAGCCTTGAGACAGCCCAGGGGTTGCACTGCTCCAGCCTGGGCCACAGAGGAGGCAGGGCCAATACTCTCCTCAGCACTGGCCTGCAGGAAGGTCCCGACACCCATGGTCGTCTCTCTGGGCAGTAGCATAGTCATCTCCATGGGAATTTCCTGGGGGCAGAGCACCACAGAAAGAGTCCTCCGGAGCAGGAAGTCTCACCCAGTCCCATAGTTAGCCCTCAGGGTGGCCCTCAGGGTGGCCCTATCGGACTCCTGGCAGTGCATTTAACTAGTAAGCAGGAAAAAAGCCACTGCTGTGCCGCAGGGCTGTGCAGACACAAGGGATGTCTCTGTCTCCCCACTGGTCCTTCTCCGCCCTTACCGCACACCCCAACACTGTCCCCACACTGTCACTATTCATAATGAGCTGACCACGCCAGTGCCGCCACACACCCAGGACAGCCTGCTGCAGCTCCGCAAGGTTTGGTAAAGGATCGAGTCTTGGAAACTCACTGAGGGCTGCAACAAAGACCCTGACTGGGACTCACAAGGGAAGAGCTTCCTGGGTCCCTGGGGCAAAGTGGCCAGAGGGAGACCTACCAGGTCAAACTGCATGGCTTCTGCACCCATGAAATTCCAGGGGATCCGCTTCTGTTGTCACCCTGTCACATCCTCCCAGTTAGACAGGAACAAGGCATCCTGTTCAGCATGGAGGGTCCTTATGAGAACCGCCTGTCTCCTTAAAGCATTTTTCAGTGCCTTAGTTTCTGACATATGAGTCATGGTACCACATAACTAGCGGCAGGAAGGGCCGTGTGCCAGGTCCCAACATGGACCGGAGCACCCTCCTTCTAGATTCACTGAGCAATCACATCAGACTGCACTTCAGGGATCTTCGGGTTACAGGGAGGAAAGAGAGGCCCAGGAGGCAAAGGAACCCGAGATGGGGTCCTCCAGGAGCCAGGCCTCCCGATGCCTGGTGCCCCTCAGTGTAAGGAGGGAGGCTGAGCCTCCGGACCCTGGGGAGGTGGAAGCAGACCCTGGGAAGCTGCTCGGGCCTCAAGCAGAAAAACTCTGGGATCACGGTGTTTGCACAGGTCTCAACCCCAGATCCCTGATCCCAAATCCAGATCGCCCTGGACCCCTGACCCTGGAGGCTGGTGTGACCCTTCGGAGCCCCCATCAGCCCCCACGAGCAACCTTCCTGGTCTGCTGACGCTCTGGGTTTTCCCTTCCAGCTGTCACCCTGCATGGAGATTGCTCACAACAGCAGGAAAGAGGATGTTTGGACACCTTAAGAGCCCTCTTGAAATTCCAGGGTTCAGAATTGTAGGCTGAGCTGGGTGCTCATTGCTTCAAGTTCACTCAACCCAGGAGAAAGTCAGCTTCCTGTTTACAGGGTGAGTGGGAGGGGGCTGAGGGAAGACTCTTGGGAGGTCACCAGCAATGCATCACACACAGGATCCGAACCCCTGTAGAATACACCCGGATTTAATAATTAAACAAAGAATAATCTGGCAAATAGATGTGGGGTTTTGCTGAACTCAAAACATTTAAAAGATGCCTGACTAATTCCAGCCCTGGGTGTGGCCAGTCCACTTTGGAAGGGCAGCGCATGGCGAGGAACAACTGGCGGCCACGTGCTCGCAGCCACAAGGCCCACTGGCTTTCAAAGGGGTTTTTCCTCTCCTTGAACCTCTAGGAATTAAGTTCACCTAGGGGCGGGGTTTCCAGACACCCCCAGCTTACAGGGCGGGGCCCTCGGTTCTCTGCTTCTGTGCTTCCTTCCACAGGCTCGGTAGGGGGCTGAATCCTGCGGAAATTTTGAAGACATATTTTGGATAATTCAGTCCGTCTAAAGACTACAAGGTTTTTGATTTTGATTAAAAGCCGCAACAGAGCTATCATTGTGTGCAGAAGGCTGCTCCCCATTGTCCTGAATTCCAAGAAGGCCCTGGGGGCACAATCCAAAATATCACAATGGCTTCCAGGAAATTCCCTGCCAGCTTCGGCATCAGGAGAGAGAAAGCTGCCGCACTTTCTGGGGCAAAGGCGACGCTGCTCCAGGCAGTGCTGTGGGTCTTTGCTGGAGCCTCCCTCCCTGGGGCCTCACCCTTCTTGCGGCCTGCAGGCGGCCTGGGACGTCCTGACTGCTTCCCACGCTCCCTTCCAGCAAGCCCTCTGCACTCCGGGAGAGATTTATGCCACATTTTGTTAGGCAAGCCTTGGAAACTAGCATCGCATGCCCAGATTCCTGTGCTGCGGGCCTACTATGTGCCGGAGAGGCTTGGTCAAATAAAACATGTGGTGGATTTAAGCGCGGGAGGGAGACCCACTCAGAGACTTGATGGAAAAGCTGAGTGTGCTGTGTGCCACTCTCCCCTCTGCATCATCCTTGCTTTGTCCAAGTGTTTACAGAAATGCGTGTGCACTTCCCGGAGTTGCTATAATAAATAGCACACCACGTACCTGGGTGGCTTCAAACATCCGGACTGTCCTCGCACACGGTTTGGAGGTCGGAAGCCTGAAATCAAGGTGGCTCTGGGAAAGGACTGTCCTTTGCCTCTGCCAGCTTCTAGCTGTCAGAGTTTTCTGGTGAAATACAGAAGCAGAAGAAAGGAGAAAGTGGCGTTTATTGAGGATGCGGAGAGGAGCCCACAACCCACAGGGGTTTGGCTTTCTCCTCCGATCGGGTAGGGACAGAGGGTTATATGACCTCTGGTCAGAAGCAGCGCATGGGGCGGGCATTGATGGCATACAAGGAGTTGATTGGAATTCTCTTGGCGTACAAATAGGAATCGAAGTTGCAATTAGGGCTGAAGGGAAGGACGAGGAAGTGGTTGTCAAGGTAGGCATTCTTGCTTTGGCCTTCCACCATGTTAGACCACCGCCATAACGTACAGTGATTTATACTAGGGCAAGAGCCTTTCGCCAGCCTTGCTGGAAATCACCGGTGTTCCTTGGCTTGTGGCTGCACCACTCTGCTGCCCACCTTCTCCCTGCATCCTGTGACCAAATGTTCACTGTCTAGGAACACACATTCAGACCTTCCATTACTGGATCCTATTAAGCCTGCAGTGACCACATTTGGAAACGTAGTCACATTCTGAGGCTCCGGCTCTAGACTTTGGGAGTGGGTTTTGTGAGAATGTTATCCAACCTAGTTCAAGAACATTCCAGAAGCAGGCAGGTCCGTCCCTGTCTTCACGTCCTAGTTCCTGTGTTTGCATTTCTGGTGAAGGAGATGAGTTTAAAAGTAACTAAATGAACACTCACTCGGTGTCAGGTGCGGAAGGACACTATGAAGGGAGGTGAGGTTCCTTTCAGGCTCCATTGTCTAGGGGCAGCCTGGGAAGGCATCAGGGAGGAGGTGGCCGCTGCCCTGGGATGCAGCCTGACTGTCCAGGGATCTGCCTGGAGCAGCTGGTAGGACATGCTGAGCCAAGAGTGTTCTAGACCCCCGAACGCTCAGAGGACAGGTGGGAGGCGGGCCACTACCCAGGCCAGAGGAAGGCTTTTCTTTCTGAGTGCTGAGGACGTGGGAGTTGAACTGCAGGCATCTCCACAGGGTCTGAAAAGGAAAGCGACCTGGTCTGAGTCTGGGCCAGGCCCACGCCAGCTACGCCTGGAGGAGTCAGTGGAGTCACTGGAGAAGAGCAGGGCAGACACAGAAGGGAACTGGGGCCCAGGACAGTGTGGGGCCTGGGGGCGCTGGCTTGGATGTGGGTCCAGGGCCATGCTGACAGGGAATGGAGGAACCTGGGGCTAACAGTGAAATGCCAAGGGCCACCACAAGGGCACTGCCTGAGCGCCCACTGAACAGTGGAGCTGCTAGTCAACCAGGGAGCAATAAGAGTACAGATGAACTACCCCATGGTCACAGTGGAAACCATGAGGAGCCCCACCTGGAGCTGAGATCAAGAAAGGGGATTTCTGAGATGGGTTTTGGAGTCTGACTAGGAGTACCTGAGGGCACACAAGGTGAGCTCAGGTCACTTGGGTGAGGTTATTATACCCCCACACACACCATTAGTTCTCTGATCTGGGAAGTTTCTGTGTCCATGCCTGAGTCACTGACACCAGCAGCAGCTCTGCAGATGCCAGGATGGTGTGGGTCAGATGAAAGGGGCACCCATTGTGGTGCTGACCCCTGGCTTTGTTTTCACTGGCATCATGACGTTGGACCCTGCAGGACATTGCACTGTGTCCCCCGAAATACACATCCATGTCTTGACCCTGGTGCTGACAAATGTGACATTATTTGGAAATACCGTCTTTGCAGCTGTGATCAGATTAAGATGGGATTACACTGGAGAAGCCCCAGACCCAGTGCCTGGCATCCTTATAGAACATAAGAGGCCACAAGGTAAGGAATGCCAAGACTGCCAGCAGCCACTGAACCTGGGGGAGGCAGGTGACAGTTTCTCCCCTGGAGCCTCCAGAAGGAGCCCACCTAGCCTACACTTTGGTTCTGGGTTTTCGGCTGCCAGAATTGGGAGCACATAAATGTCTGCTTCCTTGAGTCACCCAGGCTGTGCCACTATGCCCAACAGTGCCAGGACATTAGCACAACCTGGGTGCCCAGCAACCTGGAATGGCTTCAGGCACCATCCCTTCTGAATATCATCATCCTCTGCTTGTCACTTGTCCTAGCTAGGGGTTCCCACTGCACAGCATGGTTTGAGAAGTGCTGCTCTGAGACCCAGAGCCTGAGTGGCCCCAAGACTAGTCCTGTATGAGAGGGAGCAGGCAGGAAGAAAGGTATGCAACAAGGCACCAGGGCACTGGGGGAAATGCTGGTGTCTGAGCTGCATCTCTAAGCAGCCCACCTGTCAGGCCATCTGTCTCTTTATTTCTTGCCTCTTTTAGGATAGGAAGGGAGTGGTGGTGACAGAATATTGTGAATATGCTATGTGTCACAAACCGTTCACTTGAAAGCTCTGACCAACTAAGCTAACCGGCCAGCTATCGGGCTCATTTTAAAAAACCGGCCCTGTGGGATATTAAGCTCTCCTGAACTTCTAGGTGATCTTCAGAAAACAGATTCTCCACACTGCATCAAGATGCCTGGCAGCCCCTGGAGAGAGAGGAAAGGTAGGAGGAGGTGGAGTCCAACAAGGCACAGTCTAGAACCTCTTAGCATGATCATTCTCCCTGAAGGTTCCACTGTCTCTGCAGTGCACCTGGGGAGGCTCATCCTCATTCTCATTAACCAATAGCAAAGAAGGTGCATCCTCATCCACCAATAGCAAAGGACAAGGAGAACGGAAGATGAGAGCATCTAAAATCCCTGCATACAAGGGCACTTCTGAACCATCAGGATACTGTGCATCACTCCATCTCGGTGACTCCGTAGGGTTGCAACTCAGAGGTTATTCATTCCACCCTAAAGCAAAGACAAACAAAGAGGAGTCCAAAAGAGGGGTGGAGTGAGAATAGAGGCAGGACGCGTGCAGATGTGAAGAAATCCATGACAGTAAACAAAGAAAGCAATACGGACTTGAGGTGGAATCCTCAGTGCAGGTCTTCAGCCTGCCACGTCCTGTTGGGGACCTAAGTGAAATCACTTAGCCGTCCCGCATTTCAGTTTTATCCGTTAGGCAGAAATGATCTCCACCCATGTGGAGCCATAACTTCAAATCCCATCTCCTGTAGATAAAGTGCCTACAAAAATTAGTAGCTCACAATAAAAAATTATAAGACATAGAATAAAAGCCAGTAGGAATAACAGACACCAGAATCAAACTTCAAAATTAAAGTGGTCAAGCATAAAAAATAATAATATACTTAATATGTTCAAAGAAATAAAAGTGAAGTTTGAAATATGAAAGAGGAAACCTACGAATAGTAGATTTAAAAAACAGACATAGAATTTTTAGAAACAAAACATATAATTACTAAAATTGTAAACTCTGGATTTTGAGTAACCATATTAATTTCAGAAAAACGCACTTGAGAGCCAAGAAAATCTCTAGGATTGAAAAGGTGACACTACATCCCAATTTTTAAAAAAACATTTCACCGTGAATACAAAAACCCACATGCGTATAACCTAAAAGCAGAGCTTGAAAATACTAAGCAAAAAACTGATGAAACTAAAAATAAAAATACAAATACACAAAGCCAGATTGTAGCTGGGAACTTCAACACTCATCTCTCAACAATAGAACTAACAAAAAGTTTCAAAGAGAACTGAACAATATCGTTAACATATGGATCTAACAGGCGTTTAGAGTATTCTACCCCCAAAGCAGAAAACATGTTATTTTTAACCGAACATGGAATAGTCATTAGCATAAGCTATATCCTGGATCATAAAAACAAACCTTAATAGGACTGAAAGAATTTGAGTAATATACAGTATGCCCAATGATGCAATAAACTGCAAATTAAAAAGCTAAGAGAAATATATCTAAGGACTTAGAAATTAAAGAACACAGTTTGAAATAATCAATCATTCAAAGAGGAAACCTCTAGAAAAACTAAAAAACATTTTGGATCAAAAGGATGTATGTGTTATAAAAATTAAAAAAAAACATTTTGGAAAGTACAAAAATTAAGATTCAGTATATCAAAATTGTGACATGTAGCTAGAGAAGAACTTATAGGGAAATTTAAATTATCGGATGCTTATGTAAGAAAAACATAAGTTTCGAACAATGATCAGAATTTTTTTTCCTTAAAGAGCTAAGAAATGAGAAGCAGTATAAACCCAAAGTAAGCAGAAGGAAGAAAATAAAGAGAAGAACAGAAATCAGTGAAGCTAAAAACAGAAAAACAAGAGAAAAATCAATAAAATCAAAAACTGATGTTTCAAAAATAATAAGCTTACTGACAAAGAAAAGATAAGGCCTTATAGACATCCAAAGTGTTTAAAGAAATATTATGAATAGTCTATTTTCATAAATTCTGTACCTTAGACTAAGTGTATTCCTTGAGACAAAAACTACCAAAATTCACCCAAGATGAGGTGGATAACTTGAGTAGCCTTTTATATTAAATGTTTACTTCTTAGTTTAATAAATCCCCCCAAATAAATAGATCTTCAGTCTCAAAGAATTTCATTGGCTAATTCTACCAAATACTGAAAGACAAAATTATGGCAATTCTACACAATCTATCCCAGAAAACAAAGGAAAAGAGACCACTTTTCAACATGTTAGGAGTCTATCATTACCTCAGTACTAAAACTAGACAAGTTTATACAAAAATGGAAAACTAAAGATAGCCTACTAAACATGAACATGAGGTCCTCAAAAAGTTATTAGCAAACAAAGTCCAGTGATATGCAGAAAAGATAACACACCACCACTTAGTGGAGTTTCTCTGGAATTCAAGGCTGGTTCGATACTCAAAAATCAATGGCTCCAACACATTAAGCAGTCTATTAGAAAATCATTTCAACAGATAAAGAGTATTTGACAATACAGAGCATCCACTGGTAGACTTTCCTCAATCTGTTAAAGGTGTCTACAAAGATCCTGCAGC